TTTAGAGCAAGGTTCTCACTGCATTCGTGGAATGAAGCCAAACCAAGTAAATCAATGTTAGATTTTCTTCCTATTCTTCGTTTATTCTTTCTTGTCTCTCCTATTGTGTGGTTTTTTGCAATCAAAGTGATGCATTTCACTAAAAGCCTAAAACAAGTTAGTAAGTGGCAGTGGCATATTTGGCTTCTGCTCAAGCATTATCAGCTAAAATGACAACAGAACATGGTGATGAATTATTCTCATTCTATGACCATGAATCCCTCTACGGACAAAGAAAGAGGAGATAACCATAATAAACCATGAAGAGAAGGTATAAAATACTTCAAAAAACAACTTACATTGTACAGGTCTATCACCAACTCATCCGGATTTGGTGAGAAGGCACTGTTAACATACACAAACTAGGATAACAACAACAAATTGGTTACAAAGCAATATACTTATATTTTGAAGAACACGTGGAAAGGGACAAAAACTACCTACCAGTGTCTCCCTGTGAAGTTGCCGGCGGAGAAAATCAATCACTTTCACGAACTTGTCAGTCCCAGAAATCTGCTTTTGAAGAAAATTTGACAGGTAAAAACATAAACAGATAATCTTGGACTCCCTCAATATTTTTTCCTCAGTAGGAGAAAAACATAATGATTCGTGGACAAATGAAAACATATGCCCACCAGTTGTGTATGATGAGGACTCGTATATGATATCTAACTTCAGTACACAAAGAAACTCAGACAATTGCACTTGAATTAGCACGACATGTATTAGATTTCTACATAACCCACATTCAATTGGAACTGGTGCTAGGTATGCAAACAAAACAAATAGGGTATCATGCAAAATTCAACCCAGAACATGTTATATTCACATGATCCAAAAGGTTACTGCCCAAGCATCATCATCATCATCATTATTATTATTATTATTATTTTGGCACAATGGAGATCGTCAAAATTAAAAGTAATGAAATTTTTAGGCAGCTGTCGCAGAAGAGCATAGAGAGCCAGAGAAAAAAAAGGAATGGACTTTTTACTGAAAAATTCTACATTTGAGCATAGAGTTTTAAGGACCCAAGTATAAGAAAAATTATAGAAGAACATTTTTTGAAGATTCTATATGAATGCAGTTACAATTGATGTAATCAAAGAAGAATAAACCTTGAATTTGGCTTGCTTGAGAATAGGGGCGTCGCCTGTGGCTCTGAGATGAACTACAACTGCGTCAAAAATATATATTAACCATTAACTACGAGAAAAATGACAGATCGGAGTAGTGTTTCTCAAAAACCCGATGAACTACAACCGCATAGGGAAAAATAAAGATTAAACATCGACGATGAAAAAACTGACAGATAAAAAACTATTCATTACAAACAACATAGTACATACCCGTTACATTAATTGCAAAAAAAACCCTAAAAATCACAAAACGAAAGAGTTGGATAATTGAGAATCTGTACGTTACCTTTACGAGTCTCTGAAGCCATGGTTTCGTCGGAAAACAACCAGTAATAATTGCTCTTTTGCACCAAAAGTAACAGCTAAGAGGAGATTTATATAACTAATTAGTCCTTCCGGAATTCGGATCTTCTTCAAACGCAACACGTGGCTTTTAAAGATTTTTTTTCCTTCCAAGTCATGGGCGTATTCGCCTATTCGTTGCTCAGTCCTCGTTATCCCAAAAATTTATTTCTCTTATTTTAAAACATACAATCTTCAATAATAATATTAGATGTTAATCAAAACTTTTCATTCTTTTAAAACTACGCATTCTTCAAAAAAAAAAAAAAAATACCATTCCAAAAATTATAGCATGGGTCAAACGAGGGCTCAATTGGACTTTTGAATACCTTTTTATATATTTTTAAAAAAAATAATAGTTCTTTTTAGCATCAGTTTAAGTGTCAACATATGATAAATCCTAATAAATGAATTATAAATTATTTTATTTAATTGAACCTGTAATTAAATAACACAAGTAATGTCACCTAAACCAGTGTTAAATACCAATGATAATGAATATCATTACTATTTTTCATGTGATGACATATGTGGATTTAGTGTAATTTCAACAGGCTTTATTTTAAAATTTTTATAGATTTTTGTAGAATCCGTATGTCTTTTGAAAACTTTCATTTAAAATTGAAATCACTTTGATTCTCACATAAAACATAAAAGATCGAGGATCAATCTCCATCCCGTTCACCTATGTAATAAAACAATATTTTTAAAAGAAAAAAAATAAGTAACTTTAATTAAATAAATAAAATATAAAAAAATTATATAATATTTCAGGTAATATATTTAAAATTTAATGACAAATTAATCTTTTTTTAATATAAAATTTTATACCAATATTGATCTTTTACATAAAAAATTAGATGAAAAAAAAATGTTGAAGAATTTTTTTATTACAAATATATATATTACAGAATGAAGAGAAACAATAAAAAAGAGAGAAAACTGAAAAAGAGAACATATATAACATGTGGAAGAAAAAATAATAAACTTTTACTCATAAGTGTAAGGTTCGTAAAATAAGAGGAAAGAGAATATTTAAAAGACAGAAAATATATTAAAAAAATTCTTTTGCAGAGTTCCAAAATCTTGGGATGAATTAGAGACTTTTTTGAAATTTGTTTTTGTAATTTCTACTTTAAAATTAGTACCCTGTAGATTTTTATAAAAATCTTGATTGTCAATATTTTTTATGGAAAATATGTTTTTGCCATATAATTTCATACTTTTGTGTCGTTTGATTACCAATTTCACGGAAAATATTTTCCTACTTCTGGTCACATGACCATATTTTCCTTGAAATCTAGGAAAATATTTTCTTTAGGGAAATGTGGTTTTTATTTTTCGGGTAATTCACTATCTCTTTCTCTGCTTAATCTCTCTCATCTAATCACCAATAAAAGTGAACAAGTATAATACTTTTTAAAGTGAAAACTAAATCAATCAAACACATTTAATTAATAACTTTCATACAAAATTTCTAAGCAACTGAATTGCCTATAATTTATTTCTTTTTATACAAATGTCATGTTCGCAATCAAACACACCTTAATATTTTGAATATCACAAGACTTTTAGAGACTTGTAAAAAGTTTTAATTGAATACATTGAAACTTTTAGAATATTAAAAAGTCTACATTGAATACGCTTAAATTTTTTAAATTCTTGAAAGTCTTTAAAAGTGTTGAAAAGTCTCAATGCCTGTTTGACTATTAATTTATTTTATGGTTTGCTACAAGATTATTTTAGTTCATACATTCACAAAATAAATATTCTAAATATATATCAAAAACTTTTTTCCACTTTTTAACCGCATATTCTTCCAAAAATCACTATTCAAAGCTATTTTTTCTATAATAAGATTGTCAAATGGGCTCTCATTTGAGTACATTCCTTTAGAGACTTAAAAAAGTATAAATGTACACAATCAAAACATTTTAAGACGCCGTAATTTTTTTTAAGTATATAATATTAAGAAATTTTAAATCAAGACTTCATAGAAGTCTTAAAAGGTCATTGATATTCAAAATGTCAATAAATTTATAACTTTTATAAAATTCTTTGAGTACTAACCTTTTAATATGAGTAATATTTCGTTCTATGTCAAGATTTTGAAAGACTTCTAAAAAAAATGTATTTTCTTTTTTCAATATTCCTCTTTTTTCTTTTCATTTTACAACCCTAGAGTCATGATACCAAGAAAAAAAATCAATATTTTTCTCTCTTTCCTCTCTTAAAAGTCTTTTGAAAAATCAAATTGAATAGACCCCTTAAGATTATGTCTAGCTAACACTTCAAGATGCAATATATTTAAATAAATCATGCTACACAAACAAGGAATTTTGACAGAAAATGATGAAAAACCAACACTCAGCATGCATTCATTGGAAGATGGAAAAGTTTTTAAAAAAACAAAAAAGACAAATCATAGTTCGTCACATCAGCCCTGCCAATTTTCTCTATTTGAGTAGCTTAATTATGTTTAAATTTTGTATAGCTAGCATGTCAAGAATAAAAGCTCATATTATCAAGATGATTATCTAGATGAAAAGCTCTTCTGCACAAAGTAAGTTACCATTATTTAATATTGATCTCTTTTTTCTTTTTCATGTTTCTTACTTTCACTATATCAAGTTTGTTCTTATTTTTCTCTCCTATTAAATATGCATTAAAGGTGAAATTTGAATTATAGATGAACCTTTGTCTATTCATTAGACGTCAACGCCACATAAATCAAAATCTTTCTATTTAGAAGCCGCCTATATTACAATTCATGAAATGCATTGAAGATGTTTTGTTCAAATTATATAAAAATGCATTAAAACTGAGTTGATTAGGTGTTTGTATCAACCCAACTTTCTTGAAGATACATGGATAATATAAAATAATTCTACTCAAATTATATTAGAAGTTTTACAAATAATTGAGGTAAAGTGAATCTAACTCTCCAACAAACTAGGCTGTGTTAGGCCAATAGTTGCTCTATCATCAGCATTAGGTTTTGGCGTCATCAAGAAAACTAAAATGTTGCAATTCATTAAAAGATCTTCATGTAGGACTAAGGGGGGGGCAATCAGCTAAATTTCTATAGTTACTGTGGAAGAACTAAATCAACATTAATCTTTAAAAGCTTAATTCAATGGACATGACCTCTAGGACCCCTTAGCTAGGCATATACCAATGGCATCATAAACAATTGGAAAAGCTAGTTTGTTTATTTGAGAAAATAAAATGTGTTTTTTGTTCAACACAAACTTAAAATTGTAATTACATCGATTAAAGACAAGTTCAATTTGATAAATTTATCGACGATCTTATTGCTATCATAAACAATTGGAAAAGTTAGTTTGTTTATTTGAGAAAATAAAATGTGTTTTTTGTTCAACACAAACTTAAAATTGTAATTACATCGATTAAATACAAGTTTAATTTGATAGAAATTTTAGCAAACAAAAAAGTAACTAGTGTGTGTATGCATGTATATTACTGTGAGCTCTCCAACAATTTCTTGAAGAAACATTTCCAATCCGAAACCTTGTCATCTCCATTTACCACCTGTTGAAAATAGGGAAATAATAATAAACAGCATTGACAACATACCATTTACCACATGTTGAAAATAGAGAATTAACAGACATCAGTAATTTATTATGACAAGTATTTTAAATTTTTAACTTATCCAGTTGAATGCATAGAACTAGCCTAATAACCCGTGAATATTAACTATCCAGGGTCGCCATAACAGTCAAAATAAAATCATCAAGAGTTCAGTAAACCTCAAAGGTGAGTCCACTCTGTGGGACAGCATCAAGAGCTTCCACGCATATGAAGGCTGCATCTTCCTTACTAAGACTTCCCTTTGTTGCACTACCCTGTTCCACCAGAATAAACATTTGAACGAGATCACCGAGACTACGGAAATGTGTTGGCATCTTCCTTACTAAGACTTCCCTTTATGCTCTTGATTATATATAATGGTAAACACCAGTAGATGGTTGCTAAGAATATGGTTGTTATGGATCTTCCACTAGATCCAATAATGAAATGAATGCAGTTCCTAAATTTATTAGGAAAAAGGCTTCATTTCTATTGTTGGTAAACACCGGTTGAGGAGATTTTCTGTACCAATCAACTGAATAAGGAAAATATATCACAAGTACCTCTTTAAAGCTGAAGCCTTGCTTCCCTCCACGGTTGTTCTTTAGAAATCCTGTTCTGATGATGGTGTAAGGGATTCCAGAGGCCTTCACCGTGCTTTCATCTTGCTCTGCTAGTTTTCTTGCATTGCTATTCATCATTGCTTGAATTCCAATAGTATCTCTATAGACAGACAACTACAAGCTTATCAAAATTGTAATCTAAACATATGTTATTTTGAGGTCACATAGTTCATCTATGGGATGCAGATTAGGGATACCTGAGATAACAGGATCACGTGTTGTAAACCTTTCCACCTATCAACATTAGATAGAAATCCTTCCTGCATATATGCATAGGTTCGTCAAATAGTAAATCACTTAAACACTGAGACAAAGAAAATGTCTATATTGGACATCAGGAAAAGGTTGTCAACTATTAATTTTGTATGGCAATGTTCACACAATCATAGTTGTGAAAAAAGTAACAGGAGAATACGGCAGCCATATATCATATATAAGCCACTTCGAGGTTCCCTCTGAAATCAGGGAGTCACTGCAAAGAAGTTCTGGAAATCACGAAGGAAGTTTTCAGTTCATATTGGTCATGGGTTGAGCACCAAAAATAAAGACTAGGAGATCTAATCATTTAAGAATATAAGCCCGAGTGCTGTACTTTTTCTACAGAAATTAATTACGATAGAAAGAAAAGTGAAAAAATAGATGGAGTAGAGAATTGCATACATTTGGGCAAATCACTGCACGGACGCCTCTTAGAGCCTTCTTTAGAATTGTATTATTCTTGGCATCTCCAGCTATAGACTTTGAAATAAAGTTAAATCACATAAGACTTGAGAAAGATTCCCAAAAAATATAGCAAACAACTACATCAACAAAAGGAAAATGCAGAATTGTATAATATAAATGCACCAACCTCAACATAAGTACCAAAGGCTTCCATAGCAGCCCTCTTATCCTTTACAAGTGCTTTAACTCGAACTCGTTTGACAATCAGGGACAATATAATCATCTGCAGAAGTTAAAGACCTTGAAACTGAAGTTCATGGATCAGAAAACTGAGTTGCTCACAAGATGAAGAAACCAACCTAGGGGAACATATTAGTGGCTTATTTTGTTAGTTGGACTGTCCAGAATTGGATACTAACAAAGAACAAAATAAACTACAGCATTGTCCATTGTACTCTGCAGTAGCTGTAGTTTGTACCAAATATGCTCTAACTGATTATAGAAATTACAGTTTTAAGATTTAGTTACAAGTTAAATATACTAATTTTAACAAGAAACCGGGAATCCATTGCATAACCCACCTGACCAATTTCATTATCTCCGTCAGTCACTAATACTGCATCTCTAACTTCATCATCTCCTGTTTCCAAGAAATAGAAACGCAATCCCTAATACACAGAAATTGTACGAAATATGTTCAATATAAGTGTTATTCTTATGGAAAAATTACCTCTAGGCTCATCTTCTTCCAATGGGGTTCCATCTTTTGGGAGGATATCAGGTGCCCCGTACCATTTTCTCAACTTTGGACCCCCTAAAATGAACACGAAACAGCTTATACAATCAACGAGGGTTACAAGTAATTAAGCAAGGAGTAGCCTACCTTCAATGTAATCGAGAATTTGGTCCAGGAAACTGAGTTTCTTCTTGGATGAGAAGCAAATGAGGGAAGAATGCTTTTCAACGCGGGGGAATATGAAAGATGGGTTTATCTTCTGGCAATGCAGAGAATGGATGATGATTTGATAGGAGTGGAGAAGGGACAGGGACGAAGAAGTTGAATAGGCCATTGATTTTGGTGTTGGATTTTTGAGTCAAGCTCAAGCAGTTCTTATCTTGTGTTTTCTTCTCCCCTCCCAACTGTTGCGTTTCGAGGGGCCCAAACAACGCTTAATCTTTCCCATACTTTTCTTCAAAATTAAATTTCTAATAATTCCAGCTGGGGGTGAGCAAAAACTCGCCCAACCCAGCCCAATTCAACCCAAATCGACCGAGTTAGGTCGATTTTTTTCATTTTTTTGGTTGGGTTCGGGTTTAAGGTGTTGAAAAGGCGGGTCATGTTGGGTCGGGTTTAGGGTTAAACCAAAAAATCCGACCCGCCCTTCATATTAAAAAAAAAAAAAAACTTAAAATCAAACCAAACCCGACTTTTCACTCCACTCCTCATTTTCTCCGACTCCCTTCATTTTCTCTGTCTCTGACTCCCTTCATTTTCTCCTCTCAAATTACCGATTTTAGGGCTCATGGAGATAGGGTGAGAGGGGGATTCCAGATCTCGTTTCAATTTCTGGTTTATAGGGCTAAACTGGTGAGTTTCCTTCTCGATTTATGTCATTTTGTTAGAAAAATTTTAATAAAAAATCTGCTGCTTCTTTTGTGCTTCATTTGTTTACATTCTGTGTGCGAGAATACATATATAAAATAAGTTAGTGATTGGATTTATTCGACGCAGAAGTGCGTATTTACACATGGGCATGATGAATTCATGACGCTGCATTGTGATGGGCCCGCTGAAATTGTATGTCTAAACCCTAAATCTTAAATGACTCCAGTGGAAATAAGATGGAAATGTATTTCTAGTAGTTGTAATTAGAGATTCAGAGTTGCTATATATACAGAAAAACGTACACTATTGAGAGCATTTACAAAAGTAGGAGTTCTTTGTCTTCATTTTGTGATTACAAAATTATAATTATCAGAATGAAAAATTCAACATGTGTATCTGAGTTACTCCTCTATTTTACTGTCTAGAAATTTTGAGGAGGCAGTAAGTTTCTTCTTATTGAAGTTGCTTCTTTTGATTTTATTGAATTGGTTGAACTGTTTGCTCCTTATTTGTGTTTCATTTATCCAGGTTGCATAAACTTATGTGGTTGAATGTTCATCAAATAAAAAAGTGCAGCCCCATTAGTTTTTGATTATCTGGGAAGCTCTTCTTCGATTTGGTTGATTTTGATTCTTTTGAATATAATTGCTCTACAGAAAATTTTGGATGGTGACTAATCCTAGTGGCTTTTGAGTTTTCAAAACAACTTTGAGATACAAATTTTTAGACAATTTCAGACATGGAGTCTTTGTATGAACTTGTTTATTTGCTAGAACCTGCTCCAGCCTCTAGTTACCCTTATTTTGACAGCCATAGCAGTGACATTTGCATCTGCTACTCGATCTCTGAATTATGGGGAAAAAATGGAGCGGAACCGGGACTTATCTTAAGCATCCATTACATTAGACAGGTCTCAGACGCTGATGAACTTCTTTAGTGTTTTACAGGTTTCCAGGTATATTCAAGAGCTTCTTTAGTTATGTTTATATTATATAAATGTTGTCAAATATGTTATGTGTTATCAAATATGAAATTTATTGATATTGAAAGACTATTAATGTTGCTTTATATTAGTATTTTGGTAGAAAAAAATCAGAATTTTGGGATTTTAATATTTGTTGAAAGATTGTTCCAACCCGACCCAACCTGACCGACATTTGATTGGGTTAGGTTGAGTTGGGTTTCAATTCTTTCGTGGGTTAGGTTTGGGTTGGGACAAAAATCGACCCAACCCAACCCACGCCCACCCCTAATTCCTTATATATTGTGAAAAGAGAGAATAAGAGAAGTTAATAGAATTGTGTGTATTATAATGAGAATTAAAGCCCTATATTTATAGGGAATGATTATGAATACACATGGTAATAATTTTTTGGGCTGTAGGGGTACAATTGTCATTCACCAATAACTTACAATTTACAACACTCCCTCTTGAATGACATATTACAAAATACCTATCTTATTGATACATTATTTGGCAAAAACCCGGTGGAACAAAAATGCTAATAACAAAGAATACAAATATGAAGAGTGGGATAAAACTTAATCGAAGGAAAAAGAGTACAACTACTCCCCTTGATTTCAATTCATGTATCAAGTTATTCTTATTTTGTAAGTCAATGTCTTCAATATTTATATCTTGTACTGCAATGTCTTCAAAAAAAATTCAGAAGGACAAAAAAATTAATAACTGCAATAATATGATGATTCGAAAAATAGCTCTTGTTGATTTATTCATGAGTCTTGTACATATCATAGTATTATTTTGAGGGTAAATGTCTTTTAGGTTATAAACATTCATTACACAAAGAATATGCCTCATTAAAACTTTATTAGGAAAAATCTTAATGAATAAAAAATAGAAGATTTATTCTTTTAAATACATCACAAAAGTTGTATCATTAAATATCTTGTCAGAAAAATCCAATGAAACAAAACCTCGATCAAGGAAAAAGAGTGCAAGTAGCACTTTCGCAAACTTCAAGTTGTTAACACCATGCAATCATCTAGTATTTGTAAAGAGGACAAATATCAAATATGAATTCTTTGGATTGAAGAATCTTTTGGTTCTTCGTTAAATGTTCATTTGAATTCTCATTTCGTATCATTATTGATCCAGCGATGATCCAACTGGTCATGCCAAACAAATTGAACTTCTAGTTCAATATAATATTTATTTTAATTGTACCACACATTTTAGAAATATAGCATGTTTCTCTTTAATTTAGTAGATAATACTATCAATAGTAAAATTTTATTCTCCTACATTATGCAGTATTGATTCTTCTATAATATCAAAACAATATTATTCTAAAATATTGATATATATATATATATATATCTTGTTATGATTATTCAAAAATAATAGAACAATATTCTTCATGAATATCGATATATTTAAATTAATCATAACATTCTTCGAAAATATTAATATGCATAAATTCGTGCTTCTTCAGGAACACAATACGGTATTCTTCAAGAATACTAATATATATTATTTTTGCTTCTTCTTGAGCAATATATCATTTTTTATTTTTTTTTTGAAATATTGGAATCGTAGTGTCATGATTTTCAGGAGCAATTACATATTGTTATTTAAAATAATAAATTGTATAGAATTTACTCTTCGGAAGTAAAAACATAATTTTTAATTATGATCTTCGAGAGCAAGCAAAATATAATTAGAACATAAATAATAGTGTGCTATTTCAAGAGTAACAAATAATTATTATTTGGAAAACATTAACTCTTCAAGATATTTTCTATAATAATATAATATTTATAGAGTTGTGTTTCTTCAAGAACAATATATCAATATTCTTATGGAATATTAAAAAATATAATTCATGCTCTTCAAGAGCAAGTAATATTCTTCTGAAACATTAATTATAATATTGTGCTACTTCAAGAGCAATAATAATTTATATACTCATCAGGAGCAAAAAATATAATACATTGGATTTTATAAACTTATGCTCTTTGAGAGCAAGTAATACTTTAATAGAATATAAATATTTACAGTGACGTGCTTCTTCAAGATCCAACACGATATGTATAAGTTTAAGAATATATAAAAAATCTAAAATTAATTGAACTCACAAATAACAAACATCAATTTAATATATTAATTGACAAAATAATGATGATTATATAATCAAAAACAACAAATAATTGATTACGACCTACCATAAAAATTGTCACCAAAGTTTATTCATGTTCAGTGAATATTGGATATGCATAATTCCTGTTCGTGTTGGCAACCGATTAATGAATAGAGTGGAGGAGCTGACTCCCTCTTTTGACATGCTTGTGTATGAACGGATGAATAGTAAAATTGATCATTTATGTAACAACCTTTTACAACTTTTTGGAGAGGTATCGTGCTGATAACGTGTTGTGAAAAGAGAGAAAAAGAGAAGGGAATAAGAGAAGTCAATATACTTGTGTGCATTATAATGAGAACAAAATCCCTATATTTATAGGAAATGATTATGAATACATATGGTAATAATTTCTAGGACTGCAGTGATACAATTGTCATTCACCGATAACTTACAATTTACAATATTATAAAAATAATATAAGACCCGACTTTTGCTCAAAACGACATCATATTGTCACCTATGTATAAAAAAACAAAAAGAAACCCTAAACCAATCAACCTAACTCTCCTTCATTTCTTCTCTCTCACGTCGTGTGATCGAGAGTGAAAAGTATTAACTTTATCCCTTCTAAAATGAAAAGCATATAATACTTGTTATCACATCCAGTTTTTGACCTACTTTCTACTGATTAGCCTGAGCGCTCGACCTTTACCCTTCTTAGCTTGGTCATCGTCATTCTTCGTCTCAGTTTATTTTCAAGCGAAATGCCACACTTGTCATAGTCGTATGGTAAAACCTTTGAAAATCACTATTTTTTTTATTTTTTATTTTTTCAGATTTTGATGAATCATACGTGGTTAAAAGACTCTATGAATTGACTTTCATTTAAAAACACTACTTTCCAATCTAGGATTGTGCTTTGAAGTATAGTGTTTTCCGAAAACAATGCAAAAGTAGTATAAATCTTCAAAATCATATGTCTTAATATTTTTAAACAATGTTCGCATCTTGTAAGAGGTACATGTTACGTGATAAAATATGTTTTAATCTATTTTATTCTACAAGTGGCGTTTCTTGCGTTGTACGGTGTATTATAATTTCATATGAAATGTCATTGTAATGATTATCTATTTTAGGAAATGTAAATATTTAGTTCTATAGTGTCAATAATGTGAACAAATGGGTCTATGATATGTTCGAGTTGCAGTAAAATTATACATACATATAATCACCTTTATATATTAAATTATTCACATGGGTTCACATGGTTATGGGTCTAATTGAAAAAATATATATTCATATGACGAAATACATGGCTTTAGAGTGGCGATGCACGCATCAGAATATGTATGGAGCAGTT